TAGAATTATAGTTTAACTACTGTTAAGTAAAAAAAAAAACAAACCACTCTCAAAAACTTGTAAGTGATGGAGAACTGTTACATTACTTTGTACTATTTTTAGGATAATTAGAATTTGGCATACGTAAAAGTTGTGGTATTAGTGTATTCCTATTAAATTGAAAAAAAATTGTAATGATATTTCAGAATAATAGACAAGCACCTCATAATTTAGAAAAATATCCACCATAGTTTACATATTTTCTTTTTAAAAAAAAAAGTTCATTAGTGTCTGGAAGTAGTAGCTCTGGTTGAACCTTAGGGTTTTAGTTTCACATGTAGTGTGTGAAATTAATCTGCCACACAATCAAATTCCTGTTAGAATTGTCTTGAAAGCTTTTTCAGACTAAAAATCTCAGCAATGTAAAATCTGAAAATACAAGCTTCTCCCCAGCCGTGTTACTGTAATTTTAGGTCAGAATTTTGTTTCACTCTTTGGGGATAGTAGAAGCAAAGCTAGTTTAGGAAAAAAGTGAAGGTCGGTCTTTTTCACGGATCTTAGAAGGAAGAGAATCAAACTAATTTTTTTTTTTTTTTTTAGAAGCAAATATTGGTAATTCATTTTTTGGCAAATAACAAATGTCTTTGCAATTAATTTTGCATGATTGGCCTTTGGTTATCAGCCAAGAAATGTGATCAGTCATATTTTAGTACTTCTTCAAAATGTCATATACGTAAAGTTAAAATCTGTTCAGTGATCAAATAAGTAGATATTTCTTAGTGATAATTATCTGTATAGCATGCAGCTTTACTGTGGTGTGATTTATGTCAGCTGTACTTCTGTAGTTTTGCCATTTTTGAAACACTTAGGTTTCAAAAAGCCCAACCCTCTGTTCCGTTGTGCATGGAGTAAGTGCTCTGGCAGGGAAGGGTCATTGTTTCAGCACTAATGAATCCTGACATTGAGGGACAACTCATGTTCATTGCATGACATAAAAAGGATCTTCGTGTTACTTTAGATACAAAATGGAGAAGGAGGGTTGGCTTTAGGATTGGAAAGTATTTGTTATCTTTAAAAACTTCTCAGCCGCAAAGTTTAACTGGAATCTTACTTAAAAAGTGAAAAAAACCCAGAATTCTTAACTGTGAGAAGAGAGGCGCCAATAGGAAAAGTTCCAAACTTCAAATACGTCCTTCTCGCTCTGATTTTGTTGGAGTGTTTTGGAGTGATTTTGACCCAAACTTGTGTTGTGGGATATACTTTTATGAAATATACCACTAATAAAACTAGAGCAAAAAAATATTTTCTCGATGTATCTTGGTGGGCATTTGTTGGGATTTTTGGATACCGGCTTTTGGATAACAATTGGATAACTGTTAGTTTGTCTTAAAATCAGTGAAAGTATTTAGAGGACAGTAAATATTTGCTTCTTTAATTAAGCCGGATGGACACCTTTGGTACTGAAGGGAGCTTGAAATCAGTATTGCTTATATTTTTAACACTAAAATATCTTGCTGGTTATTGGTTTCTGTAACTTTTCTGTAAATAATCTATAGTCTCTTTCTTAGATCTAAAATAACCTTGTATTACTCAGTTCTAAAACTTAACTAAAGCTTATTTCATAAGGGTTTAAAGTTTCCTTATGATGGGAAATATAAAGCTGCTCTCAGCGTTGTGTAATACTACCAGACTTCTGTGGTTTGAACCAAGATGATGTGCTGGTAGCCTGCCTCATTTTGAATCATTTTTGTTGAAATTTTCTGAATACTTTCATTCCGAGATTGAAACGGTGGAAAAATACTGTAATGCCCAAGAGAGTTATTTAGAAATGTTTTATTATTGCTCAATTTTTCAAGGAAGCAAATTGAGTTTGGCTGCACTGAGGATGTTTCAGTACATAAAAGCTGTATGAAATTCAACAGGACTTTCCATGCATTGGCAATTCAGGGCTGCTTTGGGATGAGGTAGATCTGGGCATAACAAGGGTACGGGTTGGCAGGAGAGGGAAAGCTGGTACGAAGAACCATTTATTTAAAATACAAGTAGAGGATCTTTTTCAACCTGTGCTCATTTACTTCTCCTTCCCTGTCAGGAAAAGGAGGGGAAATTGCCTGGACTAAGTGTACAGGCAAGAAAGGCAGGGTCTGGGTGGGGCAAATAGGAGCTCCTGACTGGCTGCCACAAGACCAGACCACCAGCTTGGAGTCAGGGAGCTGGGAAGCTGGGTCCATGGTGGGATTAGGAACCAGCGGGCAGAGTGAAAGACGTGATGGGGATGAGAGAATGTATCTGAAGAGCAAGCAGGAGCAGGAGAACAGTAAAGCTAATTGGACAAAGAATTAGTTTTGGGGAAGATGCTTGAGACTGGGTTACAAATTTGGTCATAGAAGTGGAGATGCCTGCTTATTTTTTGGCCTAAGCCTGTATTTTGTAGCCTATCACTAAAACTGATGTTTGGGAGTGAGGGGAGAGACTGATAAGGATCTGTCACCTTGACCAGGGCAGAATACATCGAGTTTGGAAGAAGTAGGTAGAGGAGACTATGGTCACTGCAGTGCCGTTTGGTGCTTGGAAACAAGCCCAGCCAGATCATTCCTGCTGCCAGTTCTTCAGCTCGGGTGGCAAATATGCGATGCTTATGCTTTATTAGCCCAGGTTTCAGTAAGTTTCCACATAATTTGTTTTCTGCTGGCTATTTTAGAAATAACTAAGATATATGTAGGCATATATTGTGTCTAGAGAAAAATACAGGGAGAATTTCAGAGCTTCTAAGTCAAGCTCTCAGAAAACAGGAAAAAGCAGGCTGTCTGTCGAGACGGCTTTCTCTCCCCAGGTACAATATGTTCATGTGACTACGTGCAGTAAATAAGATGCAAGATAAAAACCATCTTGTGTGAAAACTGCCCTGATGAACTGGTTTCTCCCCTGCCTCTGTTGCAATGACCTTATGAGTTATGCAGTGATAAACTAATAACTAGATAGCTAAACATCAGTTGGTTTGCTGGGTGCTTCCCTCAAGGCCGTGCGGCTTGCGGAAGCGCTGTGTGTTCCCTAGGATGGCTGTAAGAGCAGTGCTTTGAGAAATAGCTTTTATCACCAAGGCTTCCAAGATGAGGGAATGCATTTAACCTTAGTTTGAAAGTACCTCTGGCAGCTCCTATGTGCAGTGATGGTAGAGGTGCATTTTGGGAGCGAAGGGTCAGGATCCTCAAGGTTTGTGTTCAGTTGCTCTTTTGGCAGGCAGCCAACGCTGTCCTGCTCAACACAGGGGAAGGGCAATGCAGTTGAACAGCCTCGTTCAGCTCAACCTGAACCGATTTGGATGGGACAAATAAACGTCACTTTCTCCATCCCAAATAGCTCCCTCTTCCTCCAGCTGCTGTTGTTTGCAGCCAGCCTGTGAAATTCAAAGGCGTTAGTCTCCTCTGAGGTGGCAAGAATATTTTGCATTGGTAACTGTTCGCTTGCAGAAGCATAGCAGCTCCTCCTACAAACAGTATGTATGTTATGAGGACTGTCATGCTTGAGTATAATATAATGTCTTTCCACTAAATGAAATACCCACAGGAGACTGGCTGACTAGGAGCACTGGCAATGGGATATAGATGCTTTAATCTCTGGGAACAAAAAGTATTTACAGTTGATGGCTGCACAATGGCATAAAATAAGTAGTCACAGTCTTGCTTCCAAATGAGAGGTCTTAGTATATCACATATCCCTGTTCAGGTGTTTTCAAGAAGGCCACAGATTTAATAATGGCTGTGATCCTTAGTGCCTCTCTCATCTACTTGTTTGGGCCTTGCCAATCCCAGTTGTATTGTGCTGGTAGAAGGTTGTGAAGCAGCTTTGTCTTGTGCTACTTCGGTAGTAGACTTCAGTTTCCAGGGCAAATACCCATGTTTGCTGTGTGAGAAATTCTTTTCCTAAAATGCTAATATTTTTGCAGTACAAATAGGATAGAGCGAGACTGCGCATACTGTTGGTGAGGGCAGCTCAACAGATAAATGATAAGCCACTGCAGCTTGGTTGTTTGGTCCTTTGCTGATGACCATATTTCAGTCTAGCAGGGAGTGTTTGCTCCGAAATCTGTTTTGGGAAGCTTGTCTTCAGCAATGGCAAGCTTTAAGGTGAGCATCAAATGTAGACAGAACAGATGTCACCACTGATTTCAGAATCTGTGTAAAGAGGAAAACAAGGATGTTCTTAGATTATTTTCATTACTTATTTGATTTACTCACACGTAATAAGGAAATGTTTGTTAATGATTTATGTGAGGCATAGCTTCTTCCAGTTGTCAGAGGTTGCCAACATATTTTGTCAACTTTTGATATAAAATGAAAAATTGTGATAGTGTGAATTACTCAATTAAGTGGCTTCTGCAGTGTTCTGCTTTTGGATTAACATCCTGCTTTCTGCAATATGTAAAGGCTCACTTTACATTTAAAAAAAAACGTACTGGAGGAAAGATAATTTTGCACTCTTGCATATAATGCTTCAGATGCTAAGTTGTGAATAGGCAGAAGTGTTACTCTCCTGTTGTTTCTTTTGAAAAATGATTTCTTTAATTTTCTGGATGCCATAAATTGTCCTTCCCCCCCCTTTTTTTTTTTTAAGTAAAGCTGCTTCACTTCTGTAGCTTACATTGTACTAAATTGATGGTGAAGAATAGCATGGTTTAAGAAGATAAATGTCAGGAATGTCTTCTGAAGTAGACATTCCGATTTTTTTGGATTAACGGGAAAGAAGGTCAATAATTGCATGGATTTCAATAAGCTTGAGAAGAAATGGGATTCCTGTGGTGCTAGTGATTATTAAAACATTGTGAATTCATTTCAAGATACTGTACTGGCGTTTAATATCTCTTCCCTTGTGAAAGAATGACTCAGTAAGGGCTGCCAATTTGTACAGATGATGGGAGATAACTCATAAAGCAATTGTGTTTTTAGGAGAAAAAAGTTATAGCAGACAATAGATAAATTCCTGGATGGTAGTCTTAATCTCAGTTCTGTCTTATTAAATAGGGCCCTCCAGACTTTCAGCAGCACACACCTGGACCAGTTCCTACCAACTTCTCCCAAGCCCCAAGGCTGCCAATCCAGGACCAGTGGAGAGGGCAAGCACCACCGCCACCACCACTCCCTCCTCCGCCTCCTCAGGAAAGAGATCCTTTCTTCTTAGCAGGTAAGCATTTGCATTGCCATTAACATACCAAATCCACTTTTTGTAAAGTGGGTATGCAGCGTAAGTGTGTATCTCATAACATGAAGTGTTTGAAAGAGCCTGATGACCAGAAGATCCTGTTTGATGCAGCCAGACTATACATGCCAAAAATTCCAGTGGTCTGGTATCTTTTTCCTTCCTTGATGTAATCTCATGTCTCCATCTGTAACTACCATCAATCTATGTATTTTTGTAGCTAAAAAATAAAATTAGTATCTAAGTGATTGTTGCAATAAAATTGTTGTGATTTGTTGCATTTTGGATAACTAGTACTCTGCATACACTTCGGCTTCCACTAGTAACTCTTTAAACCATCTGGACTGTATGTGTACGGTAAGAAATCTGTTAAGGTTAGCTAAAATGATACAGCATAGCAAACAAAATAGGTTGTGTGTGTATATATGTAGATACACATATATATGTAATGTGCATATATATTATATATTTCGTGTGTGTGTAAAATGTACATTAAAACTTGCTAAATATCTGTTCAGCAAATGGCATCAAAATTTTGTGAGTTC